TTGGCATCTACTCACAGGTGCTGTTTTACAAGAAGTCTGTGTCACCTGTATTGCCACTTGAGCCTGAAAACTCACAACACTCTACCTTTATGCTGGGGTAAACTCGAGGTAGCCATAAACACTCTGAAGTAATACAAACCTAAATATTTCTGCTAGGCAAACGGAGCAGTGGAACCGAATTATAATGAGCCAGCAGCTGTCACAATATGACCACAGTAACCAAATGAAAATACCAACCGCTAACCCAGATGAGACTCAAAGGTCATCCTATAAGCCAGCAGCTTTCTTCAGCTCTGTCTGAAACCCCAATCTAATCGTGCAGTGAAATGTTCCACTGAGCTAGTTTAGAAGTCTGTGAGTCTCCTGGTGAATTATTTAGTGACCTGGTGCAGATTAAGGACTAGAACCAAATACCACAGTTAGGAAACTGAACCACTCACAATGGGACTTGTGAAAACGGGCAGCTGACAATAAAGCTGCACCCAACTGTCCAGAAGTATCACTTTGCACGTCCCTTGGTCACTAGCTCAGGGATATGATCTCACTGGATAGCATGAGCATTTGTCCTCCAACAATCTGGTTTTCAATTAAGATTCTGGAACAATAGAAGGAAAATACAAGTTTCAATCCTTCCTCAGATCGAAGACTTTCAGTTAGAAAACATACCATCCAGAATTAGGGAAATATTTGGATAGTAATTTCCAAAAGGTTGATGCTTTCTAAAAGGCAGATTCATTTTTTTTAATATAGACAAAAGTTTAAAAAATAGGAGTGTTTTGAACAACCTATATTCTTTGTATATACTTCTTAACAGGATTTTCAAACAATTCTGTAGCATAGAAATAATCCTCTAAAAGATATAGAACTCAGGGGCTGGAGAGATGACTCAGCAGTGAAGAGCACTGACTGCTCTTGCAGAGGACCCAGATTTGATTCCCAGCACCCAAATGGCGGTTAACAACCACTTGTAACTCCAGTGTCAAGGAATCCGACACCCTCTTCTGACCTCTGTGGGCATTGCACGACATGCGCCTACCTACATGCAAGCAATATACTCATACACATAAAATTAAAATAATAAATAAAAATTTTTAAAAAGACACAGAACTCAAACTCAGGGTCCTCTGTCCTCTTAGGTGATTCCAAAAGCTACCCAACCAACCACCTGTGAAGGTTTAATTAAGCTGCTTCAAAAATACAGCAAACAAGTTTCTAACAGGTGAAAGCTTCCATTAATATCATTAATAAGCACAGAAACAGTAACAGGAAAGACATGACCTGTTTCCTTTACATACAAACAGTACATTGGATCACATCTAAGGTAAATTGGTTTATAACTCCTAGATGACAGCGTAGTAAGTACACTGCAAATGTCAGGTGAAAGGGATGCTCAGTAACTGGCAAATTTGCTGTAGTCTCTCAAAATCCTCATGGCCCTTCCCATACCCAAACAAAAAGAAACAGCCATTCAAGCCAATATTTTATCAGAAACCTGCTTTCTGGTTAGTTGCAATTACTTTACAGAATTTATATAGTATCACCTAAATAAAGAAACCATGTGTGACAACCACAACTAGAAAACGGCATAACTAATAAAAATGCCTCTTGCCAAGAAGTGCCCGAGTTCTCAAAACCTAACAGGCACATGTGTGTAATTTGGAGCCTGTGTGTGCACTCATATATAAGCAAACTTCTGTTCATTTATTTTTACATTAGAGATTTCATAACCATGAGATGGGGTAGTATTTACAGATATACAAATTTATTTCTAAAAGAATAAATTAACAAAGACATTTTTATTTATCACTTTTATCCCATTTCAAATAAATCAAGAAAGAGAGACACAAATGGATTAAGTAGTGTTATTCTGGTAACATACAGAAATGCTATATTATAAAAACTATAACATTCATGTAAAATCATTCATGTGAAATAAAAAAGTTCAGACTTGTAAAAATGCTTTTGTTAGGATAAAGATGTTTGTGGGTAAGCATGTTATCAAGGACTGTGTCATGTCACTAAGAAACAAAATGTACCACAATAATTCACTCAAAAAGGAGTACCTTCTCTTTCTTTGAAATAAAATAAAACCTTAAAAGTGAACCGTTAAAAAAAAAAAAATCAGGTCATCTGCAGTTAATAACTCTTTCCGGTAAAATTAGTGTCACTTATTTCTGAAGCAGACGCCTAATTCAGTCACAGACTTGATTGATTTGACAATAGAAAATCTGCTCCAATAAAGTGGCTGATTTATTTCTGATGCTATAGCTTTTACCCTTATGTGACATCATGGCGGAATTAAGTCTGAAACGTAAAGAAACCTTTTGTAGTTTTAATGAAAACCAGTTAAAGATTCTAGAGTGGACTGTTGCTCAAAACTTTCAGTAAATTCTAATAGCTTTTGGTTTGAGGAAAATGTTCGCAAGGGTTATAGCATTAGAATACAGGTTTGGACACAAAGAACGTCCATGACACAGCATGCCTGTGTTCCAGAGCTCAAAATGTGCTGCTTATGTAACAGGTCTCACTTTGTGTTTCGTTCTATTTGCAAATTGATTGTCTTTAATCTTTTGAAAATTACATGTCCTCTTTGTAAAAATGCAGCACAACATCCAAAGGACTTCGTCTTAAAGAGTAGTTTAATTTTAAGTAAACAGCAGCTTGGGCAAACTCAATGTAGATCTTTGTTCTCTGAAGCTGGCCCTGAGATACCCAAGCCCATCAAGAGGGCGTTTGGGATGTGAGAAATTAGAGTGGTGGGAAGAGTTTTCAAGGCACCAGCACGATCATTTCTCTGAAAATAATTTTAAATTCTTCTCTAAACTAAAAATGTAAGGCATTTCATACTCATTTCAATGCCTTTTTCTCTCTTTTTCTTTTTTGCACACTGCACAGTGCCCTCTCGCTCTGAGGGTGACTTCTCTGACCCCCGTCTGACACTGCCCTGTTAATGTCAGATAAACCATTTAGCCCAAGCACAATTCTTTTCTGTGCAAAAATCTGCTTGAGGTGGAAAATGTAGCAGTTTGTAAACAATAAAGAGCCATGTTTCAGACCAGACAGCTTATCTAACAGAGAAGCCCTTTCACTGGGAACAGTGGGTGGGAGCCTCTGAGACTAGCATTTCCTACCACAATGCAGGGGACTGTCTTGGCCTCCATGTTTAAGAGTTTAATGGGAAGGAGGGCAGACGGGATGAAAGAGCAAAGCTGACATGAATTTTCAGCTTAAACAACAACCAAGCGAGAAGAATCAGCTCCAGGCTGGGGGTCACTTATATTTTAAATATTATCTGGAAAAAATATTAAATACTATGTAGATAAACAACTAATTGAGTTTGTAAAACAGTTGTCCGTAATGAACAAGAATAATTAATATAGCTGTGCGCCTTGGTATATTCTGATATTAATTCATCAAATTTCTCTTTCAACTTGTTTCACATATATAATGTACTTCCTAACATGAGGAAAATATGCAAATTGTGTTAGTAATATGTTAGTAAATTGTGATTTACATATTTTAAGTCAAGTTTTTAGCTCATCTGGATAATTTTAGAATCTTCTAAAGGAAATCAGTATATTCTTTCTCAACTTAATCTTTAATTCTGTCTTATATAGTTGGGCAAGGAGGAACAAAAGGGTAAAGGTGTCTTAAAATCATGGTTATTGACACTGAAGTTAAAAGTTGTACTTTAAAATCTAAATTGACAAACATCATCATCTGTTTCTACATATACTAGTCCGCTGAGGTTTGATGTATTTGTCCATTAATAATTGAACAGAGCTAAGATTTCTTCTTTAGTTAAAAATGAAAACATCAATATGAAGTTCACCATTTTGAAGTCATAAAGAAAATACAAATAACAAGAACCTAAGATCAAATACCATTTCACATTACCCAGGAAAGACACTCAAAGGCATAACATGACACTAGCCATTAAAAACAACTCCTTTGTTAAATAACCCATTTGATGATGATTTTCTGGGGGAGGGGAAACGATTGAGATTAAAGGACCATCAGCAGCATAAGTAACTGGCATAGCTTCCAAGGCTTGAAATCAGGACACTCTTTAAAAGCATTTGCAATTACAGTTTCAGAATGATACAATTATTGCTGGGTATTTTCCTTAGAGAATGGTCCAACAGCTTGTGTCATGAAATTGAACTTCATTTATTGACAGCTCTGCAACAGAATTTGGCCAGTCTGAAAGACTTACTAATATTGTTAAGAACTCACATTTACTAGAACAAAGATCATTTTCTTCAATCAAAACTGAAGTAGCCAGCTACTGGGACCTTTTAAGCCATTATGAATTGTCATTTCAATGCACAGGTTACTGCTGTTAAACAAACATCCCTACAGGAGAGTCAAAGGCAGAAAAATAAGCTGCGGAAACCAGTATGAAGGACAAGACAGAAATTTGTAGACAGACTCAAACTCCAAGTAGCCATGCAGCTTGCTTGAAATGATGCAGGATGTGGCCTACCATAACATCAGCAGTAACGTCCATCCCTGGACAAATACTCAGCCAGATTTTACAATTCAACTTGAATAAGCTACTCTGAGTTAAGCACACTAAGTCCTTTGACAACATTACCATAACCTTAATAGTAAAAGTTCACAATCAATGCTTTGTGCCCTTGTCAACCAAGAAGCCCAATGTTTTTATTATAAATACTCACCACTTCAACTTCACCAGTGTCTAAGAAAAGTACCATTGTAACACTTAAGTGGGGTATGCTTTCTGTCTAAGAAAGAAAAATTCCACATAGACTCCATATCGTTGAAATTATTTAATTCCATATGTTTGTAAAACTTAGTCCTTGATGTAGTATTAGCAAACATAGACAATCACTATATTTCTAGAAATTAAGAGTCCTGGGGTTAAACTGGCTAAATAACCCTGTTCCTAAAATCTGAATGGCTGTCTGATACATGGTATCCCCTTACATGGCAAACAAGCATTCCAAAAGGGCATGTTAATATAAAACTTGTCTTACTTTGTATTCTGGAATTGACAAAGGGTGGAGAGAGATTGTCGTGTGACCCAAGATCCCTGCTGGTCATGTGGTCATAGGGAGTCCCATCTCCATAGTTCTGTAAATAAAATAACAAGGTAAGTTTCTTAATTTTACATTTAAAACTACATACATAAACATACTCCCAATACTAAAACTCCTCCCATCAAAAGAAACTGGAGTCAATTATTTGCTCCAAGGAGCCTCACTGTGGGAACTTGCACCTTCACATGAGTAGTGGGTTAGACAGAGTTCTGTAATCTACAAGGTTTAAATAATATATAAACTGTAAAGTCTTGAGAATAGTGGTAATGATACCAACTGTACTGAGTTGTTGTGATTTAATGAAATAATATATTAAAACATCATACTATATACTCACTGCATATATCAAAACTTATTCTTTTGACAAGCCTACATTAAAGCAAGGAGAAATAAGCCATTCAAACCATGGTAGAGCCCTTTAAACATTTAGCTTACTATACTGGTTTTGATGTTTTGTTACAGTTACTGTTGAAGTTGTAAAATGACCAACTCATTTTATTAGTAATTAACACATAAAAATGTGAATATTACTCTTTAACTATGAATGAACATAGAGCCTCAGCACAGGGGCCTATAACTCAGCTTCAGCCTATATTTCATGGCTTAGCAGTACAAGCCTGAAAACCTGAGATCTAGCTCCAGAAACCATGTAAAAGTGGAAGGAGAGAGCTGACCCCACAAAATTAGCTCTGACTTCCACATGTGTCCTATATCCCTCTCCACGAACGTCATATATACACTCTGACACACATATATACATACAGTCATTAATAATTATAATAATAATGCACAGGATAAAGTTTAAAGCTTCAGCATAAATCAGTATTTCCTGAAATGAACAAAATATGCTACATAAAAAACAATTTTAAAGGGGATCATTTGGGGGGAGAAATGTTTCAATTTATTTATGATTTCTTTGTCTTAGGAATTTAAAATTAAAACATTATTTTTAAGCTTCCTAGTCACTTAAATTTCATGGAGAAATTTAATAACATGTAAGAAAGAGTTAAAAACCATTTGTATTATTTGATTCAAATCTCATTCTATAAAAGTACACAAAGTGACCAGAAAAGGGGGAGTGACTGCTCAGCTGGTTGAACTGTCTGTAAAGTCTAAGTCAAATTTACTTAGAGGTATCAGTTGGCATGTCAGCCAAAGGGCAGAATCTGCCCACACATGAAAGATGGATGCTGAGAGAAGAAGGAAGGCATGTCACCTCACTAGAGAGGACTGGAATCCTCAGGACAAACAATAACGTTTTTACTTACCTTTCCTTATTTATAAAAAACTAATCAGGATGATGCTGTACATAAATACATCTACCAGTATGTTAATATGTAAATAGATGCCACATTTCAAAAGCCTATGGTGAATATTATTACTACTCCTACACTGCGTATTGCATGCTAGTGATTATTATTTATGAAGTGTCTTTATCCCAGATAGTGCACTACAAGCATTAATATATATTATCTAAGTTAATGGTCAGCAGAGTATTGTGGGCAGAAGACAGTACCACCAAGTCAAGATGGGGGGAGACACATAGCAAGATCACCTGATAGGCATCTACAAGCATCTGTCTTTTGCAAACAAAATTTAGATAACATAAATTAAAATATATTGACTTAAAATTACTCACCAATGTAGTGTGTGTGTGTGTGTGTGTATGTGTGTGTGTGTGTGGGTGTGGGTGTGGGTGTGTATATGTGTGTTCCTGTGTGTGGCAGGGGGTATAGCCATATGCTTGTATGGCAAGCACTTTACCAACTGAACTACTTCACAAGCCCCATAAATGTATTTCCTTTTTATATTTTTAATTGCACTCGTTTATTTTTAGAGAACGCAGAGATACCATGGTATGGCCCATGTGTGCAGGTCAGAGGACAACTTGCAGGAGTCAGTGGTCTCCTACACCATGCAGTCCCAGGGGTCAAACTCAGATTGCCAGCTTGGTGGAAAGCACCTTTACCCAATGAGCCAACTCTCCAGCACATTTTTTTTTAATAAAAATGGCTTTATGGAAACTGAACTTAAAAATAAGTCAAGAAGAATATAAGTGGACCTTGTTTTCCAAAATTCAATTGAAAGCACTCCATTTTGGAGTAAATACACATTGTAAGAATTTTTAAATTTTAATGGTAAAAAAATTAATAGCAAGAAGTTAATATAAAATTACTAATTAATGTCTGATGTGAATTTAGTTTAATGCTCAGAGTGTTGTACTGAATTACATACAATACAATTGCATGTAAAACAAAGAATTCAAGAGAAACTGAATGAACTCAACGATAGAGGGAACCTTCCTCATCTCATCTGCTGTCAAGGGGATGGATTTATTTGTGCAAGTGCAGGCTGTAACATGAGGAGAAGGAAAGATTTCCTCAACCCATCCATATAATGCATTAGAATGTCAAGCTCGACAGCTGGTGCAAGGCTCAATGAAGTTCCCAGTAAGCTTCAAGATCCTGCCGTACTCTGAAGACCAGTGTGAGGCTCGCAATGCCTGAGACAGGTGGAAGCGTGTAAGTTTGACTGGCCTCATTCTGACAGCTTCATGACCTCCTGTGCCTCTCATGCCAGAGCAGAGACCTCCCCCAACCCAAACTGATGGTACCACTCACAGGAAGACAGCCCCCTCCCAGCAGACTGCCTCAGCTAGAGAGCCTAGAAGGAAGGAGAAATGTTGGCTTTACACCTGCATTAAATATACTTTTAATTGGGGGCACTGTCTGTGTATTACAAAAACTACTGTGGATTTAGAGGGCCTAAAAAAGATGCAGTTAGCATACACAACATCCTGCATGTTTCAGTTGGAAGAAATATGAGGATCAAAGAGGTAAAATGATACGTTCAAGATATCACACACACAAAAACCCCACAATGCCTAACACCCCCTCTCATCATACTTCACCTTCCTGTAACATCCAGAGGAACCACCACTGGTACAGAACCACAGAAGGGCAGCAACAACATGGGAATAAATGAATGAATCCAACTGATGAGCCATGGCCACAAAATGGAGCCAATGGGGACTTCTGTACAGGTGACACTGATGGGACAGAACTTCGTACAGGGTCTTGAAGATTATACAGTGTTAATCAAGAGTCTTGTCACATCAACATGTGATGGGGAAATTGGGATATACTTAAACACGTTCTCTATTTGACAAATGACTTTCTAGCATACTAGATCAGTAACTGCAAAGGTAAAGACAAGGGCTTTATAAAAGATTTCTCGCCAGGTTACACCAATGGAACAGGTGTAAGTTTAGGCGCGGTGTCCAATAAGGGTAAATAAAAGACTCTTCATTAAACAGATTATGCATATAGATCAGTACAAGTGTGTGTGTATGCATGCCTGATGCATGTGAGAAGCTCACCTTCAGTTAGTCAATTTATATATGTGCCATGTCTGCTTATAGGGAAAATGATTAGACATACTTACCCTGGACGGGCTTGGATGGCCTCCATTCCCCCAGGACCCTGAGCTACTTCTGTCTTCTACATCTAGGGACAAGAGAAAAGTTCTTTAGGCTTTCTTGCAATAACTCTTTCTTTTAGTATATGCACTTTTAAATTAATGTTTCAAATTAATCTCCTGTTGCCTTTAATTAAGAACCAGGCACGGGGCTACCATGATGACAGTGGCTTCTGACCCATCTACTTAAATGAACTCATTTAAATTCACAGCAGAAGTGAACTGGACCCTCAGGAACAAGAGGTATGCACATAAAAATTGCTTCCATCCTCCACAGCACTTGATAGCCTCCGTCAGTATAGATAGGAGACTGTGCTTAAAGTTTTATTCAAATCTTCTGGACAAAATGAACTTAAAAACACATGAGCACAATTTTAATCCAAGAGAAAAGTTGAGCTGAAGTCCATTCCTGCATTAGCATCATTGACATAATGCTGCTGCATGCTGTCTGCTCTCTAGCCAAGGTTCATCACACCAGACAACAGACATGCAACCAAAATCACAAAACAAAAGGACTCAGCAGTCTGCTCCCACCAGCAAAGTGAAGAGATATTGGGCTTTTTAAACAGGTTTTTAGGTTGAGAAAACTCTTTCCCTCTCTCCTTTCTCTCTCCACTCCCTCCCTCCTTCCCTTCCTCCCTGTCCCCGCCTACCCCTCATTGGATGTACCATTTGGCCTAAGTTCTTAATCTGGGGTTTGACACATAGAAACAAATGCTATTAATTTACAAAGCAATGCTTTACTTTTTATTTCCAAATATCTTACTGATGTATAATAACTGTGCACATTAATGTGGGGTAGAGTGATAAGTCAACCTGTGGATATAGTGCATGATCATCCAATTGGAGTTTAGCATTTCCAGCCTTAAAACATTTACACTTCTTTTTATTGGGAAACACTGACCTCCTTTCTTGAGTTTTTAATAAAATACATGTTAAGTTGTTGGCAATGTTTTATTTGGATAAGTAATGGTTACAGAGTTCTCCACAAGCTACCAGGAAGTTGGAATTCACTCAGCTCCCTCCCTGCATAGTTCTAATGCTGACCGGGACAAAGGCAATATTCCATCAGGGGTGTGGGCAGCAACACTCCTGAGGGACAGCAGGGCTGCGAAGTTAACATTCTAACTACTTAAAATATTACCATGTTCTAAGAATCGATGACTCTATATTTAGGGATGGCTTTGAAAGTTTTGATGGAAGGCCTATTAGAAGTATGAAAAGTTCCCCATTGTATATATTTTTTGAACTTGGTTGATAACAGACGGCCATCACAAGCATCCCGACAGAACTGGAGGAGGGTGTGAAGCTCTGATCCAGGAGACATAGTCCCATTTATTGACTTCCCTAACATTGCCGAGATACTGTTTATTCTCTTAATGGTCTACTGTCATCCCTTTATTGCTGCTAGTTTATTATCAGCAGAAGTAATCACAGTATAATTAATTGATTTATTTTTGGGTACAGTGGAGAACATGGTGTTATAGGATATCTTGAGAAAGGATAAAACAGCAACTAACAGTACCAGTAAACTTGCATTATCATCTGCCATTCCTGTCTCTACTTCCTGTGTGTGTTCTCTCTCTCTCTCTCTCTCTCTCTCTCTCTCTCTCTCTCTCTCTCTCTCTGTTTACACACACACACACACACACACACACACACACACACACAAAACTTCAATTCCTCTTTCTTGGTGCTTCAGTGCGTGCAAGCAGATGTCCCCAGTGGACACTTAGCTTCAGTGCATTGCAAGCTTTAAGAAAGCTCAGGGGACTACATCAAGCCTGGAGAAAAGGTGTAAAACTTGTCCAAAATCTGCTGTTCACAACACAACATACTGGCCTATCTAGTACATGTTGAGCTAAAGTACATGAAGCTACTTACAACCCTTGAGGATTTTCACAAGAGTGAGTTTTGTATTCTACATGGCTCTCTTAATTCTTAAATTCAAGGGGAAAAGGTATAAAAACAAAATCTCTCAACCGCTACAAATTTTCAAATATTTGGTATAATCTGACTTCCTTTAAATATGTAACAACTAGCCTGGGTTAATGGGAGCGCTCTCCCTTCAATTTGGACCAAAGGTAACAAAGGAATAGATTTGACTCTGTATGCCATAGGCTTCATAACTGTTTGGATTTGTCTATTCTAAATATATACAGTTGGCAGAGATTGGTAGTGGTGCACACCATACTGCTATGCCAGGGAATCTCTGGTGGGAACAATTCTACCACCAAAGGACATCAGGAAGATCCAAGCATGACTTTGGTGTCACAAGTTAGGCAGAGGCCCTAACTTGTAAATGCTGGCATACTGGATAGAGGTCAGAAATTCTGCTGAACATTCTACAAAGGCACAGAACAGCACACCCCCCCCACCAACAAGAATTATCTCACCCCAAAAATCAATTATGCCTAGATCAAGGAGTCCTAGGCCAGAGCAACAAGACAGGAGTTAGACAAAAGATGTTCTAGGACTTGGTTTATAACTTGTTAAGAACTCTTTGTAAATATACTGTGTTTATGCATTTGAGCTAAGGCTTGAGCTGGAACATTTTAGGAGACCTTTACATACATCTCTGTCTACCGAATAAAGGAAAAAATGATGGTCAACCAAGCAGCCTGCTAATTAGCAGGCAGATAAAACACATCAAAACTTGAGTATTCCCAACTGGGCAATTTCAAAAGCGAGCAATCCACTAATTAAAAAAGCTGGAAGTCGAGCTTTTTCAAAACAGGTTAACTACTGGCTGGGCTCCTTCCCAAACAGATTCCCAGCCAATCAGATCGGACTGCTCTTTTCCCTTCCTTTCCCATTTCCATCTCTCATCTCCTGACCTCATGCTGCTCTGCCATCCTGTAGCTTGCTTCCTACCTTTTACTGTTCTCTTTTGAACAGGCTCCTCCTGCTAGATCAAGAGGATGAGGACAAATCACCAGCTCTACCAAAACCCAATAAATAGGACCATCCTATGAATCCTAATTATATTTTATCATGGAAAAAAATCTATATTAACTATTGTTCATTTATCTATAGCAAGAAGAGAGAAAGCTACAGTTTGATCCTAGGAATTCATAAGGCAAGTAAACATGTTACTCTTCAGTCAGCTGTTTCCATCTTCCCTTCCCTAGGCATCATCAGACCTGGTAGTTAAGTGAGCAAGTATTTCCTCTAGTCCAGCGCATATCATCTCAAAGTCCGTCCACCTCCATCTGAGACACATGACATGCTCACTTCAAAAGGAACTTAGGATGCATCTCAGCTATGCTTAGACTGAAACTCCAAGGTGAGGCCAAAACAACTGTTTTTCACAAGGTGCTCAGGTTGAACGCACATCAGGCTTTGAGAGCTACAAGGCTATGCAGGTAGAAACACAGGACAAATCACACCCACACCACTCACAAGCAGCCTGCCTTCCAGGTAGCTTAAAAATGCTATCCATGTTTTAGCAGCATTCAGTATACACTCCCCTCTCAACTGATACCAGTGGGGAAGTCTAGGCTCACTGCGTATGGCCGGTGTTTGGCCAGCCCTAATTCCCTGCAAGACACTGTACACCCTTTGATATCACCATGCTTTTGTTCCCGTTAGTTCCTCTGCCTAGAAGGAATGTTCAACCTTCTGACAGTACAACATGGCACCTCAACTAAAAGTCTATGCTTGAGAACCACACAATCAAGTTAACACAACAACAGAATTACCCCCAAAAGTCTCAATGTTCTAAGTAAGTTTATAATTTTGTGTAGGGCTGCAATGACAGCGATTTCTGGTTATATGCAGCCTGCAGGCCTTGGGTTGGTCATACCTGACTGTTCCTCACCACCTAGATAATAATGGCATCTCTTGCTGAGTAAGCCTAAATGTGGGTCAGGCCCTGAGCTAGACACTTAAAAGTCCTAATAGCATGCCAATTTTATTATATGAGAAAACTTAAGATTAGATAGGATAAAAACTTGCCCATGGTGTCAGTAAATATCAGAAGTAGAACAAATACAAAAGTGGTGTTGTATCCTGGATCAGTACAAATCCCCTCCTCATAAACTCCTCCCTGATAGGAATTTCCCATCTCCAAGGCAGCTACATGTTCCTTCCTGTCACTTTTCCCCAGATGGGGTAAATAATGTGGAGTTTCTACCCACTACTGTATCCACAAACCATTTCACGATCATGTTTAATACTAAGTAAGTTAAACAAATTTGACTGAATCAGAAGGTAACAGAATAAAAGAAAAATAATAAAGCCAGAGGTACAGTGAGTCTATCAAAATATACATTATGATGGGCCACACATCTGCTAGGGGTACAAGGAAATTTTAGAAACTATTAAGTGCATAAAGATTAAAACAAGATATAAAGTGACTACCAGGAAAAGCATAACTAACTCTGGTCTTTGATTTGCTGGGGGGAAAATGTGAGTTCTCCCAAGAGAGGTCAGAATGGAAAGGAGCAATCTACCTTAAAAGTCACAGTTGTGGAGTTTATGAGCCAGCTCAATATCATACTTCATCAAATAGAAGTTTCTTCTGCAAATACCTATGTGGGTATATGCACAGTTCCATGGCTACATGTTTACGTCATCCCAAACTGTGATACATGCTCCTTATAGCAAAGAAACATGTATCACAAGCGTCTCTCTTATTGGCACAGAAGAGTGGGTGAGCTCATCAGCTCCTGACAATCAAAAGAGGACAAAGCGAAGAAAAACAAAAACAATATTTTGGTATAAGAAGTATCTACATCTAGATTACGAGACAAAACAATATACAGGAAATGATGAAAGCAATAGAGTCACAAAAGAAAAAATGGCCTGCCTGAGGTGAGGCTGACTGTACAATCCTGTCTCTCCCTGGTGAGGAACAAATGACTGGTCATCTGTTTAGGTAGGCATGCAAAGAATGGGAAGAAGGGCAAAGGAAAAGGCCAGCAAGGGCAGAAAGTACATTTCCAAACGCTAAGATGGGCTCCATTGCCCAAGATTTTTCTAATATTTTATCCTAAGACAGGTTTGGCAAAGTTCACAGGTTTGTTGG